TGTCTTTCATCACAGTTTTCGTGAAACGAGCGATCTTGTTTTTGATAATAGATTGATCAGTGCCAGGATCCATATCGCTCAGGCTGTCTAGGATTGGTTGAAATAGAGGCGTGTTACGACATAAATTGTAATAAAAAGGTAAATTGTAATACTTGCAGCAAATTGTAATAATTTTGACGTAAATTGTAATAACAACGTAAATTGTAATAATATTTGACGTAAATCGTAATACGCAAATTGTAATAAAAATTGACGTAAATTGTAATAATATCTACTTGCGGTAAAATGTAATAAATTCTTACGTAAATTGTAATAACTTTACTACCGTAGTGTCCAAGACGCCAATTGACTAGAAATGATCTTTGTCAGTTGAGCTTGCGTTTCACATGTACATTTCGAGAAAACAAACGATAACAAACGTAACTGTTAAGTTAGGGATGGTTGGTATAGGCTATATCGTACAATCGTCATTAAAGGGTGGTGTCAACATAGTGAAAGACATTTATTGGAAGTGATGTGATGAGTGTGGCATGCTATCATTTACGTAGAAGATACTACCATCTACCTAGAAGATACTTTCATCTACGTATATGGTAGTATCTTCTACGTAGATGATAGTATGCCATCTAGATACTATCGTCCACTTACATACTTTCATCTGCATGATACTGTCATCTAGAGTATGTAGAAGTGCAGTCATATATGTGATACCGATGACATAGAGCTCACATTTACTGTCATTTTATACACACCTACATGCGCGCACGCACACACACACACACACACACACACACACACACACACACACACACACATGTATACACACATATAGTGTTTGTGTGTGGGTGTTTTTGTATGGGTATGTAGTGTGTGCAACACGTGTTTGTTTCTGTATATATGTGTGTGTGTGTGTGTGTGTGTGTGTGTGTGTGTGTGTGTGTGTGTGTGTGTGTGTGTGTGTGTGTGTGTGTGCTGATGAGGGCATAGTATCGGAGATAAATATAATTTGGTTTCTTAGTTAGTCACTATTCTTTTCATTGGAATGTTAAGAAGGTATGCTATAATTTCAATATTTTATTACAGTGCTTGATGTTAGCTGGAATCATTTTAATCCTCTTAAACCCCCAGAGAAGATTATCCTCTGAGTTAGTTTTTGTCCGTATATATGTCACAAATTAGTGATAACTTATGAAAAACGTAATTATCTGTTTCGAAAAGTATGTACCGCATTATACGTGAGGTACCAAATTTGGTATCAAGGTTGCTTGGCGCAATCCACCAACGATTGCCGAGTTTAATGATCTTAGAATACTCTTCGTATAAGGTCAAAGAGAATATTTACGTTAGTGACAAAACCCTTTTCATCATAGATTTTCCATCCTTTCAATTCTGATCAAAACAGATATATTTCAGCAATAATTGATGGCAACAAATTTATTATACATTCTGATGCTCTTTGAAACTCAACAAGACATGCCCGAAGATACCGGATATTATTTGTGTATGCTTTGAATTATGATTTCGTGCCGTTATCATGAGTTATAATGTTTTTGTTGTTGGGGCAAGGAGTTATTATCCCAGCAAAAGTTGTCAGTAAGTTGTTGTTAGTTCTTCATGACATATGAAAGGAATCCAGACAGTTACATTTATTCATTTATTTCATCAAATATACTTCTTCCTATGAAAGGAAATATTTTATATTATATTAATGATCCATATGTTAATCATACATTGCTACAAATATTGCAAAAGTTAACATGGTTTGCATTTATTTTTTATTATTTCTTTATCTGTGAGAAGTTCACAGAGATCGAGAATACACAATATCTAATAGTATATGCAATGCAGGTAAAGAATATCCACGCCTCTCTTTTGATATTAATAAAAACATAGTATATAATATTATGTATTAAGTATTCTCCATTCCCTTGTATGGGAAATCTATGCTGCATTTGCTGACGACTGTTTCTTTTCCTTTGACATTGCACAGGAGATCTGTCACCCATTTGTTGTATTTGAAATCTTCGTCAAAATATAATACAAAACACACAGAGTATTTCTCAAATAAATAAGAAAACTAAGTTCATTCTAGTTATTAATCCTCTTCTGGACAACCATAGAAATGAAATTCCAATGCGTTTATATATGCATATAATTATACAACAATGTACGATAACGACCTCAATCCTCCCCAACACTCATACTTTAATGACGATTGTACGATAAACCCTGTACCAACCCTGATAAGGATAGGTTCTAGTCATTTAAAGCCTTTGACACATAACTTATAAGGTTATTACAATTTACGTAAAAAGTTATTACATTTTACCGCAAGTTGAGATTATTACAATAAACGTCAATTTTTATTACAATTTGCGTATTACAATTTACGTCAAATTTTATTACAATTTACGTTGTTATTACAATTTACGTCAAAATTATTACAATTTGCTGCAAGTATTACAATTTACTTTTTTATTACAATTTACGTCGTAACAAGGCGCCTGTCTAAAATATTGGGCGAACTCTATGACACTTTTGAGGCTGTCGGTCAATTCACTTTCCCGCATCTGTTTCATTTTTCTGTCAATTCATTCTTCTGTTCGACCCTGTTGTCTGTACTTTTTCCTCTTGAGTTTCATCGCGTCGTGCTTGATGTTGTTCACACGATGCGTTGTAAACTAACATTTTGCCACTCCTCCACATCCACGTCGGTCTTTGGCGGCTTCCTGCGACGATTTTTGACAGTGAGACCTCTTCCTTTCTGTTCAGGAAGTCGTTCCTCATCGTCGTCACTGTTGTTGTCACTCTCGTATCTGAGACGTTTTCTTTTGCATTTCAAGTCGTCGTTTGCTGGACACCACGATCTGATATGTCGCTGTAGATCGTGCATATTGTTTATCAATACACCGCAGTCAGTACACGCAGTGGCCATGGTAAAAGGTCCTGTGTCGTCCCCTCGAGATGGATGCTGTTTCAACGTCGTCGTCATCAAAGCCGTGATCAGGTTGATTGTCGTTGGTTGTCAAGACGTTGACATGTAATCTATTCTTCTCACTTGTGCCGGGTTTGAGATCCACTGTGAGGTGTCCGTAAGGGGGTTTCAACAGCCCTTTCAGAAAGAGTAAATTTACCAATGTCTTCAGGAAATATTCTTCTGGCGAATAACTTCACCTGCTGTCTGTCCACTGGCGAATTGAAAAGTGTGACATAATGAGAATTTAGAGCAATGTCCCTAGATTCCTTCAGACAAAAAGTCATCCAACACCATCATGTTCTGGTTACAGGCATCGAAGAGTTTTCAGATTGTAAGGTATTCCTTTAACAAACCATACTTGGGTTAAAGTTTGAAGAATGCTATCGTAAAGAGGTTGCCACGCAGTATAACACCAGACAATACAGTCGGGCAGGGGTTGGACGAATCCACGACGTAATAGGTTGAAGACAAACACCGACTTTCCGCATCCACTGGGTCCAACAACGATGCTATTGGAGGGTATAAGGAACTTGAATCGTTTGTGTCGCTGGTGCTCCCGAGATGAAAGCAAACGAGGAGATATATTTCCTGATGAGAAGGAGGAGGAGGGTGTTTATCCGGAGGAGGAGGAGGAGTAAGGTGTTTATCCAGAGGAGGGAGAAGAGAAGGCGAGTCTTGAGTTTACCTATGCACCTGCTCTTGATGTCTCTGTAGATTATCTTTTCACGTAAAACTCTTGCCACAGTCTGGACAATTTTCCATATAAGGACTTTCATTGCTACATTGTTAGATTTTGTTGTTGACAAGGTTAATGTTTGAAATATCAGTCCTCGTGTTACAAATATGTAATGAAATTAGAAAAAGACACACAAGCACAAAAAAAACACTTTCATTTTGAACAATAACCTCACTGTTTTTTCAAAGTTGAGTTAATAGTACGAGACTTCCTTATATGTGAGATTGGGGGCGTTAACTCATTCGCCTTTCAGTTGTGTAAACAAACCCATACACTTATTTCCGGGCTGATAATCTCAGCAGACGCAGCCCCGAAATGCGCATGGAGAAAAGGCCAAAAAAGGAGGCCAAAATGCAGTCGCAATAACATTCCATTTCGCGTGCATATAAGGATATTCATTACTATCCATTGTTCCAATGGTCCAGTAATTAGTTGCATGATTACATCTGGCCAGTTGACCCTGTATTCATCTAATTAACCTGATACATCGCTTATACATTTACATATTAATGAGTATTCTTGCCTATTAATGAGGGATTGGTGACCTTAGTTTCCATATAAGGATATTCATTACTATCCATTGTTCTTTGTTAATGAATGCTCGAGTAATTAGTTACATGATTGCATTTGGTCAGTTGACCCTGTATTCATCTAATTAACCTGATACATCACTTATACATTTACATATTAATGAGTTATCTTGCATATTAATGAGGCATTGACGTGGACAACACCCAACACATCCTCCCCCACCACACGTTTCAAAAACGCCCTCGTTTATTTAAGTATTTCCTTTCAAAACAATCTCATGTTTACACAAGTGTTTTGCCTTTCAACTGTCCGGAAACGCTTTGTTGATACAACTGTTATACGAGGTTATTGGTCAAGGTTATACGAGGTCATTGATCGCATGACAACCCCCCACCCCTCAAGGTCAAGGTTATGTGACGTCATCAGTCACGTGAGGTTACTAGGAGCACTTGTGACGTCATCAAATGTGGATGTGTGGATGGATACATCTTAAATATCTACTACTAACGTACATCACACTGGCTACATAATGATGTACGAAAAGTTTGTTACTATTTTTCATGATATCTACACTTTAAGAACAGCACGTCATGAACCCTTAGAAACCTCAGCTGCAATGCTAATGTATCATACTTCATCTGTTTGTCATCCGAACCAAATGTTCTAAATGATACATATATTATCAGAGAACAAGTCAGATACAAGAAACGTAAGACCGTCTTGATTTATTTTATTGTTTTGAAGACAGAAAGCAAATTGCTCCACGATCAATTTATTTTCATTTCGAAGGTTTGAAAATACATATTAGTCAATTGATATATGATCTTTGACAAGCAACCATTTTGTCTTAATTGTACACTTTTTTGATATGGTGGAGTTCAGGATCCCCTGTTGATATGTCCTCTGAAAATCAAAATAAATATTTTATATACAAGCATCAGGGTGGCACTGTAGCTCACCTGGATTGAGTTGAAATATTTGGGCCATGTTAAATTCGGTGAGGATTTTGTGAGCAGTTTTAGATACACCATAGGTGGGATCATTCATACAAAGTTTCATCACCGTTTTCAGCCTTGTAGTTTCAGTGGGAATGTAACACAATAAAAAGTGTGAATTTATCGAAAAAAATAAATTGACCCCGAAAATTCTTTAATAAAACAATTATGCTTCAGACTGTTGAAAAAAAAGAAAGAAACTTCCCCCACCAAATATACATTGTTGCAAGGCGTTTTTCTTTAAAACAATTCACTGGTTTTGTTCGTAGCTGTAGCTGTAAACGATCTAATGTCGATACAAAATCACAGGCAAAGCGCCCAATGGATGCTTTCATGTCAACTGTAGGCGTTTTGACCCATTCACTTCTATGTCTCATTTTGGACTGTGCACCTTAAATACGTTTTCAAAGGGGTGAGAAATCTGTTTCAACCTTATCCTTATCATGGTTATCCTTCTAATTGTCAAGCCGTTGACAGTTCTGATGAGTCACCGGATGAATTAAACTATTAGAAACCTCTTCATGGTCACGGGAATGTAATTGTGTATGGTTAATTCCATTTTAGTTTGTTACACCTTAGAAGATAGACAGAACTCCGTCATTCCGCATAAGGATTCTCTTCTTTTTTGTGTTCGTCTTCTTTGAGTGTAGTCACTTACTATAAATGTATAGGTCTTATGATTTCCTCTAGATTGTCATGGTCTATGGCATGGTAAGTTTGCCTAAAACAAGGCAGTCCTTGGTGAAACAGGACGTAGTGATCTTTTTGTAGCCAGCCAATTAAGGTTAGTTAAGTATTGGCTTAAGTTACTTAGAATGGTGCCTGGTATATAACTATATCAGTGTTACAAAATGGTTTCAGATGTGAGAAATCTATTATGTATAAGGCTTTTCATATGCATGAATTTCCCAAGAGACCCGCAGTTATTTCTATATTCATTTAAGCAGAGACTAAAGGATAACACTGCTAAACTTCCTGATATGATCTATGATGAGAAGTGTGTAACTTAATTTAACATCCAACCATGTACATCACGTACCAAATTATGCCTATGTATTATGTATTGAATAATCTGTCTAACGCCGCACTCAGCAATATTCAAACTGTATGACGGCGGTCTGTAATAATCGAGTCTGGTCCAGACGGTTTCCTCCCATTAGTAAGACAGCCCAGTTGTGAGACACCTTAAAACAACAATGTCAAACCTGGTTGCACATGTTGTGTACAGTGAAATTTCTAACAAAATTTCCAACTGTTGTACATTTGCCAAGGTCTTAACGGTACATCGCCAATGAGTACCAGTTTGTCTTACTTTGTTCTTGTAGTGGAGATATCCCTGAAAGAGGACCTGGAGAGTACCTCTTTGACTGGTAATGAACTCAACCTGCTGCAAACCTGCCATGATTGTGCATGAAATGTTCACAGACTAGGGGGAATTTATATGTGTAATAAGTAAATTTTAACAAAACATGCATCTCAACATTTTGAGTAAGCTCCTACTAGCTCCTAACTCATTTATTTCCTGAGAATATTCAAACAGAATTACTGGCCTACTCATTAATTAATCCGCTGTGACCATTGTTAAGTGGGTAGACTGGTTGTGTTTGTTTAATTAATCCCACCTACTCCACTGTCTTACAATGGGTGTCTCACTAATGGGATGTCTTACTAATGGGATGTAACCGTCCAGACAATCCAGTGATTTACATCAGTCGTATCAATCCACCCAATTGGGATCGATGACATGCATCAACCAAATCAGCGAGCATGACCGGTCGCCTCTCACGACACACATAGTCAGTCGCCTTTTACGGTAAGCATATGTTGCTGAAGACCTATTCTACCCTGGATCTTCACGTGTCTTCTACATTTTAATAACCTACATTTTAATAAACCATGTACTCCATCATAGTAATTTGAACTATATTAATTGTTCTTTATATATACTCTTAAAAAAGAGAAACTTGACACACTTTCAAAATGTAATATAATGTGATTGTTTCAAAATAGGACACAGAAACCATAATTGAAACACTGTTTGAAGATCAATGTACACAATGTTCAAAACATTAATCGTGTCACCTAGACAGACACACGTATACGATACAGTTAATGTCACAGGGGTACAGTAACTGTCAGTATCGGTTGTGCCCACCACGTGCATTAATCACCACTTTACACCGACGATCAATAGATGCAATCAAGTTGTCAATAACACGCTGTTGGATGTGCTGTCATTCATGCTGAAGTGCATCAAGAAGCGCCGGAAGTGTTTGGGGCGGTGGATTCCTTCTGCGAACGCGTCGATCCAACTCGTCCCACAGATGCTCAATCGGGGACAAATCTGGTGACCGGGCTGGCCAAGGTAATGTCTGGATGTTGTTGTGGTGTAAGAAGTCCTGACAAACACGTGCAATATGCGGTCGAGCCTTATCCTGCTGGAACTGTCCGCCATGAACGTTGACGTGAGGAAGAACGTAAGGCTGTAAGATCAATTCTCTCTGTAACGCACACCTGTCAATGCACCTGCCACATGCACGAGAGGCGTCCTACCACCGTGATAAATTCCGGCCAATACCATGACACCCCCGCCGCCAAATGGGACAACCTGCTGCACACAGTTGGGGGCGTAACGTTCACCCCGACGTCTGTAGACACGTGCGCGCCCATCAGCACGTGTGAGTAGGAAACGGGACTCGTCAGTAAACAGTACATTTCTCCAACTTGCACGTGCCCATCTAACCCTCTGTTGGCACCAAAGCAGACGGTCCGCCAGATGACGTGGGGTCAATACATGACATCGAACAGGTCTTCGTGCAAAAAGTCCAGCCTCCCTCAGTCTGTTGCGTACCGTTTGATCTGATATTCCGTGTACCCCAGGGATCTGTGTGGTTGTAGACGTGGCTGTGGCTGTGCGGTCTCGGAGGTGTCGCAGCCGGATGTATCGATCTTGTACTTGGGTTGTCACCCTTGGTCTTCCTGACCTTGGTCTGTCGTCAACTCTGTTGGTGTTGTTGTATCGGGTCCACAGTGCGGAGATTGTCTGTCTGGATACGCCAAAGTGCCTGGCCACTTCTTGCTGAGTTGCTCCAGCTTGTAATCTCCCAGTGGCGTTGTTCCGTTGAGCTGCATTCAGTCTTGGCATTCTGTCACCGCCTCTACTGCCGTTATAAGGACTGTATGAACAGCCGTTGATGTGGATTTTTCTACCCATTCAGCAGGGGGCCTGCATGCCTAAATGCAGAATCCTGTGCTGCACGATTTTTACAGGCGGTTGCGTTTGGATGAAGCTGTAAAATTGATCCCTAAACGCTACGTTTATGTGCTTTGCATGTGTTTTCGCGAATTATAGACACATCATCTTTCTGTTTGACTTATTTGGTTCTCATTTAGTGTAATTATTTTAGATATTTGGCAAAAAGTGGTTTTACATCTATGTCAAGTTTCTTTTTTTGAAGAGTATATTATATCTTGTGGAAATATTTACTCTAATTGTTATTATAACGAACATGCTTATAACGAACTGACCGATATAACAAACATATATATGCTTATAACGAACTACGGTTATTACGAACTATACGTTCTTTTGAGTTCGTTATAACCGTAGTTTACTGTATTTGAATTCAAAGTGGTTACCAGACCCGCTCTCATTCATGTGTAGTGTTCGGTTAATTCATTGGCGAAATGCGAGTTGAAAGTTGAGAAGCTGCTATAAACAAAACCCAAAATAAAAATAATGTCCCGTACGCTTTAACTGGATTTGCTTTCCAATTCGTTGCTTGACAGGACATGTCAGCAGTGCGAATAGTATGAACATGAGACTGATCCAGAGCCACACTGTCTATCGTCTTTGTCGAATCACAAAAATAGTAAGTCTGATTTACGAAGGGAAATTTGTTAAATGGATCTTACAATAAACCTTTACATGAAGTGTATTCCATACCTGTATTAACCTGTACAGCAGGTGTATTGACCATCTAACGAGGAATCCTCGAGCATGGTACACGCTTCGGGCAGCGTTGAAGCACCGCATACTGAGGCCACTATGTCGTTGCGGACACACCGTTGAGTGCAAGGGGTCCCTGAGAATGAAGACCGTACAAACAATTTTACAACTCTCAGTTTTAACTAAATTAAACTTTCAATCTCCTGACAGTAATATCATTTTATTTGTTTGTTGTTTAACGCCGCACTCAGCAATATTCAAGCTATATGACGGCGGTCTGTAAATAATCGAGTCTGGACCAGACAATCCAGTGATTGACATCATGCGCATCGATCCACGCAATTGGGATACGATGACATGCATCAACCAAGTCAGCGAGCCTGACCACCCGATCCCGTTAGTCGCCTCTAACGACAAACATAGTCGCCTTTCACGGCTAGCATTGATTGCTGAAGATCTATTCTACCCCGGATCGCGACTTAATATCAAGTTACCTCTCAAAGGAAGCACGTTCTATTGTTAAATACATTTACCAATCTACACAGCAGGTTATTTTTGTCTAAAAAACAACCTTCATTGCATTAGACCAAATACACCGAGTTTTTATACTTTAGCAACAACACTCTAGCACTCTTGCACGACACTGGCACTCTATGTGATCCCATATTAAGTGACGCCCGGACCAAAACAGATGGTTTAGGGTACTTGTTACCCTGCCTGGCGTTCGGCATTCAGGGTCTAAAACAAGGACTGGTCGGCTAGGAGTCAGTATACTGAAGCAGAGTGGAGTATTCATGCTTAACTGCGGCATAGTATCTAAGTGGGTAAGCACAAGCAACCATACACACTCACGTGCGTGCACGTCGCTATATAAGTGCAATAATTTTGGACGCGACCCCATTTCACCTCACCTCACATATAATGTGATGTATCGATGACCGGGCAAACACGAGCACGTCCACGTTTCAGAGAATATCTACGATCAAACACGAGCTCTAAATGCACAGAATAGGTAGCGCCAAAAAAGATTTGAAAATAGTCGCATACTGAACGTTTTGGGGGCGACGTCTGGTCCCTGAATTGAAGGCATGGTTGTTGTAGTCGTTGTAAGCACCGTAGTTGTAGTTGCCGTGGGCGTAGTTGCCGTGGGCGCAGTAGGCTCCGCTGAAGGAAAACAACCTTTAACGTTACTTGGTTGTACATTTAGGCATTTACAAATACATAATTGTGTAGAAATTATAAAGTATACATAACCTTGCCATTCGTCACCACTCGCCCCTTTCCGTAACCTGCAAGAAGACTCGTCCCCCTCTCGATGAATGTTATGTGCGAAAATACGCCAAACCAATCAGAATGCGCGTATGATTTCGAGTTCTTTGTCAAATAATCCCTCAGAAATAATTTTTGATTTTACATATGTCTTGCATCTATAAATATACCCAAGACACAGTTATATGTGTTCAATCATACTGTATAATTCCGCACGTCCCGATGTGCTTTAAATTGCATCTGAAATATATATAATATATAGGGAAATATATGTGAACCATTACGCAACGAGTTGATTTTAGGTATGCCCGTTTGCGCTAAGACGGAACCTAGTCGCAAAAAAGGCCATGAGAGGGGCACGAGTCGCTATTCGGCTTGTCCCGGAATAACACGAGTTGGTCACGAATGATAACTTTGCGTACGAGTTTGTAAGATATGGCTGAAGATGGGAAGATGTTTGCCTGATCCTGTTATTGGTCTTGAGCCTAGCACTTCCGAAAGTACTAATAATCTTGAAAAAGAAATTCAATGCATAAGAGTGAGTGAGTATGGTTTTACGCCGCTTTTAGCAATATTCCAGCAATATAACGGCGGGGGACACCATAAATGGGCTTCACACATTGTACCCATGTCGGGAATCGAACCCGGGTCTTCGGCGTGACGAGCGAACGCTTTAACCACTAGGCTACCCGACCGCCCCTCAATACATAAGACCTTTGTGTGTTGTGACTTGTGCTATGTCTGAGCAAAGTTCCTCTGAGAATGATTCCAGTTATGATTTGGCTGGCACTGTTATGGACCTTCTTCGAGGGAGAGTGTAAGGGGCGGTCGGGTAGCCTAGTGGTTAAAGCGTTCGCTCGCCACGCTGAAGACCCGGGTTCGATTCCCGACATAGGTACAATGTGTGAAGCCCATTTCTGGTGTCCCCCGCCGTGATGTTGCTGGAATATTGCTAAAATCGGCGTAAAACCATTCTCACTCACTCACTCACTCGAGGGAGAGTGCAAACATTCTGACAGTTTGGCTGTTGAGGAACCAGTTCTGGGTAGGGAGCTGTAAGTTAAGTTAAACGGGGAGGGCCCATAACTCAAATCTTTTGCCAACAGGGAACTTACTCTCTTTAGAAGAAGCTGACATGGTTCCACTTTGCTATTAATTCCAGGGTATCGTTTTGATGAGGACATGGAGGCCCCAAATGTACGTGCTGATAATGAACGGAAGGTCGTCCATCAAATTGTCCTTCCAAATTCATATCGATAGCATGTTTTGAGTTTGGCACATGAAACTCCTTTGGCAGATAAACAAAACTTGTGACAAAATTCTGTCCCATTTTGGCCTAATTTGCGGCATGATGTGACTGAATTTGCAAAACATGCCATGCGTGTCAAATGTTTGGGAAACCTAATCAGAAAAGATCCCAATAGCATCTTTTGAACCCATTCCAGCCTTTGAAGAACCTTCCAGCAGGGTTATCATTGATTGTATTGGTCCCTTGCCTAAAACTAAGTCAGGAAATGAGTACATGTTTACTATCATGTGTGCTTCCACAAGATTTCCATTGGGAAACTTACAGCTCAGGTTATAATCAAGGCTTGGATAAATTTCTTCACCATGATTGGTTTGCTAAGATTATACAGTCAGATCAGGGCTCTAATTTCATGTTAGGTGTTTTGCAACAAGCTATGCACCAGTTAGGCATAACTCAGGTTAGGCCTCGTGCCTCGTACCAGTGATTGATATCATGAGCATCGATCCACGTAAAAGGCGACTAACGGGATCGGGTGGTCACGCTCGCTGACTTGGTTGCTGCATGTCATCGTATCCCAATTCCAGACTCGATTATTTACAGACCGCCGTCATATAGCTGGAATATTGCTGAGTGCGGCGTAAAACAACAAACCAATCAACCAACCAACCTCACTTGTTCACGGATGTATCTGGCCGTACGGATGTAGTATGTCATGATGTAGATGTAGGTGACGATGTGCCTGTGAAACAACACCCCTACCGGATGAATCCAATCAAGCTTTAAACTCTGTAGAAGGAAATTCAATACATGCTGGACAAAGACAGCCAATCTTCTGGGTGTCAAAGCCTATGCTGACGATAGTATGAACAATTCCATGGGGTGGGACGAACACCTGAAGAGGATCCGTGCTTTCTTCGAGAGACTCACTGCAGACAAGGTGACTATAAGTTTAGTGAAAAGTGAATGTCCATAGGCAAAGGTCAGCCACAGCCCGTACAATCAAAGGTAGAAGCTATTTCAAAATTCCAAGTTCCACAAAAAACAAACAGGAACTTATGAGATTTCTGGGTATGGCTGGTTACTACCATAAATTTTGTCGAAATGTCTCACATGTGGCAGCCCCTCTCACTAACTTGCTGGGCAAAAACGTGAAATTTGTTTGGGACGCATGGAGCGTCATGAGCGTTCATTTGGCGACATCAAATGGATTGTGCATTTGTGTTGATGCAGATTATGAATCCGCGTTTTTCGTTCTGGTTTGCCATCTAAATAATTTTGACGATCTCTTTTCACATGAAAAAGTAATTGATTATTTTCTTGGGTAAAATTCATTTTGCAATGCCTGTCACAATATCAATACAATTCAATAACCACATACTTAAAACATTTATAGTCTTTGCCTTATCCTAAATTACTCATATATGGTATATGATATTCAATTAATATCACATATTCTAAATAAAATTAAACTCTCAGACTAATCTGGACAACTGAGTGAGTGAGTATGGTTTTACGCCTCTTTTAGTAATATTCCAGCAAAATCAGGCGGGGGACACCAGAAAAGTGGCTTTACACATTGTCTGGACAACTGAAAGAAATGGAACACAGCATACTGTATATTTCCATGTGCCATTAAAAACGTATCCTGTATTAATTTTCCAACCAGACACAGTTGTGTTTGCTTGACATACTCATATCACGACACAGAGACACCGAAATCTTTTATGTTATGACATGTTTGGGCAATGTTCTTTGTCAGTAGTTGTGTGTCTACAATTTCAATTACTTGCTCACTGCATCGTACGACACGATTTACCACATGCGACCACGTGGAGAAACAAACATTGTTCTAGTCAGCAGGTAACGTCGGGATATACAGAATATCTGTATCTATAAGTTTACATTTGTGAACCAGTCTTATACATTTGAGATTGGAAAGCACGAGTGATTCTATGTATCACGCAAAGTAAATCTTCCAACAATTTCAGTTTGTAAACAATAACAACCAGTGTGTGGAGTTAAAAATGTAAAGCTAACAAACGCAGGGGCAGAGATGTTAGTGATGTCATTTGATTGTGACGTCGTACTAGGAGACACCGCGTGATCTCAGCAACGCGATATCACCTGTGGTCGTAGCTTTCGTAACGAAGGGTTGCAGCTGGTGCTTAACTTATTTCTAGCTCTGTGTGTGTGTGTGTGTGTGTGTGTGTGTGTGTGTGTGTGTGATTCATGCCATATTAGACATATCTTATCTCAAGTTGTTTGATCAAGTTACAACATTGAAGGCCTCTGCAAAGTTTTCAAAAATTGTATGATAGGACATTTCCATATTTGACGCATCAGTGCAAAAAGTTATGACTGATGCAATTCCCTGTTTTGACTTTTCACCATGTGTCCCAATGTTTTGTTTCAGGTGAACAACTGACTTGCCTTTGCATGTGTTTCTGATTGGTTTGTCTGTTTTTTTGTTTAACGCCGCACTCAGCAATATTCCAGCTATATGACGGCGGTCTGTAAATAATCAAGTCTGGACCAGTCAATCCAGTGATTGACATCATGAGCATCGATCCACGCAATCGGGACACGATGACATGCACCAACCAAGTCAGCGAGCCTGACCACTCGATCCCGTTAGTCGCATCTTACGACAAGCATAGATGCCTTTTATAGCAAACGTGGGTTGCTTGGTAATACAGGTGGGGCAGGATACACTCGCCTTTTCACGTCTGTTTATGTCGTTTTTATTAACCCACTGTCAAGTTCGTTGCAGAAGTAATGGTTTTGATATACGTCCACATCGAGACATTCGCAAGAATACACGACAAGCGTCAAGGGCAATAGAAGGCAATAATAGGGAATGCTCTTTATCACGACTCGAAAATTCCATGCAAATCTAAAATAACAAACACTGGTATTTTGCAATATATAATTATTTCATGTCTGTATTTGTGAACCTTTTCGTCCAAGTTTAACAACAGGAAATCCCTGACACCGACCTAATATAGAGTTTATCAAGTGACTTGTCAACTGGAACGCAGTTCCTTCTTCCGGCCAAACTTACATTTATCGAAGTACGAATTTTGTGCATTCACCGGATTATATGCGCAGGTTTTCATATTCCCACTGCCAATTAGAATTGCTTAAATTTGTGAAACTAATTCATTTCGCAATTATTCACTGTTAAAATGATATATGATACTAATACTAATTCCAGCTTTATGGAGGTGAGCATCGATCCACTCAATATGGATCGATGACATGCATCAACCAAGTCAGCGTGCCTGACCACCCGATCCCGTTAGTCGCCTCTAACGACAAGCATAGTCGCTCTTTACGGGAAGCATGAAGACCTATTGTACCCCGGATGTTCACGGGTTGCATACCTATACGACACGTCCTGGATGCCAAACCGCGGTAAAATTCAACATGGCAGTCCGCGTGTTTATTTTTTTCTCGGTATTTCCTGACCATGAATGGATCGTAACTGTCATAGAGTTGCATGAGATGCATTCCAGTGTCGTATATAACAAAACGAGCAAACACTGTGGCGTACGTACATTGGTCTAATATTCCACATACACAGCATTATCCAGCATGCACTCGTCATCAGGCGAACCAGAACTACAACATTGCCTTTTACGTCAAGCATGGGTTGCTAAGGACCTATTTTACCCGGATCTTCACGGGTCCATAAAGACTAGATGTTACTCTTACATTTATCGAAGTATGAAATCACATTTTCACCGGAGTATTTGCGCAAGTTTTCAGATTTTCTCATGTATAAGGTATCTAAATAAACCAAATATATAAAATATGGGTTTTTTTTAAAGAAATAAATAATACTTACATGTTACAAAGCAGGAAGCAGCCAACTGAGCAATGGGACACACGATCTGATGTACCCTGGTGTTGGGCGCAGAACAAGACTGGCTAAAGAAGGTCCTGATCTTCGAACATGGGAAATCTGAAAGAGCCAGGCTGCAATCACTCGGGCTGTTACGTACTCGGCACAGGTCTTTCACTTTCAAGGAAAAACCGTCTTTCCTCACAGAACACCAGTAACAGGATGTACACTGGCCCTGTGTCCCGACTGCAGCGCAGATGCTGGTGATGTCGTCGTTGGTAAGAGTTTGCGAGGAAGACAGGGTAATGGCACACGTAACCAAGAGTGCACTAAGCATCATCTTCATCGTCATATCGGTTCGCTGGATATAGATATACGTACATATCATTAATAAATATATTTTGAAGGCATCTTAGAAACATGCATTAAAGATCAATTATAAGAATATTTAATGTTTGTTTGTTTCTTGTTTAACGCTGCACTCAGCAATATTACAGCTATATGACGGCGGTCTGTAAATAATCGAGTCTGGACCAGACAATCTCGTGATTGACATTATGAGCATCATCCACACAATTGGGATATGGTGGCATGCATCCACCAAGACAGCGAGCCTGAAGACCCGACCACCCAAACAAGCATAGTCGCCTTTTACGGCAAGCATGGATTGCTGAAGACCTATTCTACCCCGGATCTTCACGGGTCGAATATTGTTCGGTGGTCTTAAATGTGAGTAATTGAGTACGGGTTGCCCAGTTGTCTAAGGTGGCGCAATTCGCTATCCAGAGACCTATGATTATGGGTTCGATTTTCTGTTCGTACAGATTATTTCTTGGTTTGCCTGGGCTTCATAAGTGTAAACATCTTAAAGAAATACATGAATGGTAGTGAGGATATCGTCACTCATTACTCCGCAAGTCTACAAACAATATTATGTTTCGTAGCTCAGCATAGTGTTGTTTTGAAGACTAAATAAGCTGAATTAAGCGGACACCCCATAACATATCCAAAACAAGGTTCCAACGGCGGTAATCCAGTCGCAATCATTCATCCACCCAAGTAGCACACAAAAGTGAGTGATTGTGTGAGTTGAGTTTAACGCCGCTATTAACATTACTCCAGTTATATCACGGCGTGTCAGCTTATTGATGGAGGAACGCCCGAAGTGATGTAGGTCTCAGACGTTTACCACTTCGGTGAAACCCACGAGCACGGGTATGGTGCTGATAAACCTAGAAACATAATCGGGGCGAACCGGAACTCGAACCCACAATCATAGGTTTCTGGCATGCCCAAGGGACGCAACTCTGCCCTACGAATCGCGGCGCCTTAAACGCCACCCGTGCCTTCAGCACACAAAAGACAAAAGGGGAAATGAAACGTATACTAAATAACTGGAGATGCATTATTGCACCAATGTATTGCAATTAACAGAAACGTGAGGTGGGTATTATCCCAGCTTTGAACGGTTTTTCATGGCGTGTGTGTGTAATGTGGGGGAAAATATCAAATTGACGTAGACGTTTATCACAGATATACCCCAATGAGCGCAGAAATGTGTTGACAAACCACGAATCATTACCAAGATGAATCTGGGATTCCAACCAACGATAATCTTGTTCTCTCATACGACTAATGGACGCAACACTACACAGCAAACTCCGAAACATTAAACAAGAAGTCCGTTTATGTCCTGGAATATTGGAACTTGATCTAGACAGTGGCTTCATAACAATGTAGGTTAACGTGCCATAGGGCTTGTGCGCATAGAGCATGCATAGCACGTCTGGTCGAATACCTGATGTGAATGTTATCGCTAGCTAGGTATCTCTCCTGCGCACATTCATACCAAATTCCCTAGTTATGCCCAAAGGCATTCAGATTTAGCCAGAAAATATACAGGTGTAGCGAAGATCGTTGAATATTGCGTTTTATTACCCACGTGGTGAAGATACAGGTGGTAAGACACTAAATCCGTACGTCACACGTGTGTCGTACAAGGTTGACCTTGTTTTATTCGTTTTGATTGGATAACCGTGACCTCTGTCACACCGGGACTACTTTTTTCATTCATAAAAAATCGCGAGACGTCATTCATTTTGCGATTACAAGGCAGAACTGAAGAAATTCATGAGAACTTTCAATTTGATTTAACGTAAAAGGATAGGCGTGGTGAAATGAAGTCTGTTTAAACTATCTGGACAGATATCTAGACTTACTTGGGATGATCCGGTTGTGCCATCGGTGTCCCCCTTGAAGCGTATTTTGTGGCGCTGTTTCGGGAGGTGTTGTTCATGAATGAACGAACACGACAGCACGACCAGATCACTTAAAGTTCACAGTTCCGATACAAATCATTCGAAAACTCCGTGGAAGTGTGCTTGACTTCTGATTTTGTGGCCCCAAACATCCCAAATGTGAACAGTAACATTCCCTATCTCTAGCGTAAAACGCTGTGAGTGGATCGCGGTTGTCTTTTCTTATTCTGGTAGCGACCTTGCCCTTCGATCGTTCGAAGCTGTCACTGACATGCAAGCAGATTTGAGTTTGTTGATTTTCACGTCTTCAGTATATAGGGTGGTACAGTTAACATGAATGTCTTTGGCGAACAGTCTGATTTCCCTCTTCCAAAATGGTACGGACATGATATAAATTCAGCTGATAGATCAAGGAAACCAACCATTTTGATTGAACAGACGGGACCCCGGCAGTGTGATGCGTGTGACTGTTGGTCCGATATTCAAAGCGCGGCGCTAATGTGACATTTCAAATTTTCTTATCGGTGTCCTGCGTACTAACAACATGGCGCTTGAATTACCATAAGTTGAAGACTTTCTTCCAAAAGGATCTTGAGCGTCGGTGCTGGTTTGTTTGCAAACAGAACAGCAGGCGCATGTTGTTAATGCGTATGCATAAACATGTCAACAATGCCCATATTTGGTCATATATCAATATTCATGCGCAACCAGATTTTTCAACCGGTTTCAGTTTGGTCTGTCAACGAACGAAAGTTGTTATGTATTTACACCTAAATATATATTTAACGTGGGTAATAAATAAAATACCACTCTCATTCTCGTTAGATACCAATTTTACGAAACTCGTGAACTTTCTATGGTATCTGACCTCGCTTTCGCTCGGTCAGATACCATAGAAAGTCCACTCGTTTCGTAAAAATGGTATCTAACGAGAATGAGTGTAGTATTCTCTATATATTTAGGAATAGGTTAGGTGAAATGGGGTTTAACGTCGCGTCCAAGATTATTGCACTTATATAGCGACGTGCATGCACGTGAATGTGTGTGTGTGTGGCTGCTTGTACTAGTCCGGACTGATGCCGAGCACACTGAGATACCATGCCGCAGTTTAACATGAACACCCCACTCAGACACAGTATACTGACTCCGAGCCGACCAGTCCTTGTTTGAGCCCCTTAATGCCTAGCGCCAGACAGGGTAACAACAAGTACCATCTTTTAACGTCTTTTGGTATGACGCGGCTTGGGATCGAACTCCGGACCTTCCGCTCTCCGGGCGGACGCTCTACCATTAGACCACGGAGGCGGTCATATTGAGGAATAAAATATGAAAAGAAGCAATTAGTTAATGTAGTTTACACCAGTTGGTCGAGGGAGAATAGACAGCACATCAGTACATGCAAAAAACATTCCTTTACTTGAACGCCTTTATATTGATATTGTCCTGGGTGATCTGATTGGCAACCTGCTCCAATAAATGCAATTAACTTTTCTCGAATTTGCTCGAGGAAGCTGGTTTCTATGGTAACGAAACATTTTAAACATTAACGCCTGATAATGAACTATGCATTAGTTATATTTTGTGACACTTATTACTACACATTGGATGAAATACCGTGTGTGCACATCAAAGGTATTCAACAATAACACAAACAAACTCATAGAGTTGATAGCAGCTGCCCTTATCATTAGGTAACCCACTGCTAAAAACTACCGAAGTCTTGCTCACATGTCCATAGTGTAACAAAAATGCTTCTACAGCTGCCTCACAGCCATTCACAGCCTAAAGTAAACCCCAAACCCATCATTTAAACGCAAATTACAACTTAGCCCCATGACCAATGCAATTCTCTCGAAGCATGCGGGCATTAGCTAAAGGCACGCATAGCCCTAAACAAACACCAGCCACTTATCATAGCACTGCAACAAACCCGCCTACCCTTTAAAAGTGCCCTGAAATTACCAGGCTTCAATTTCATTCGGAAAGACAGCCCCCTTAAAAACCCAGGGCCTCCCCATAGGAGCCTTTGCATATTAGTCAAATCACTCTAAATTATGATATTATTGATATTCCTACCACTAATCTAGAAGTCCTGGCACTAAATAACACTATACATAAAACAAAACTAACTATAATATATATTTATCATACCCAAACCAAACCCTTTAAGGGTGACCTTAACATTCTTACCAACTACATAGAACCAAATACACATTTCCTCGGGGATTTCCACGCGCAACACCCACTCTTGGGCACAACAATTTTCAAACAATTTACCCAACTAGCTATCACAAACATCCAACTGAAGTGAACAGTTCACTAACTACAGTCAAACTTTCCAAAACGACAAGCTGGGAAGTTCATAATGACACCTGGGCCAGTGATGACTGCCCCATCAAAATATCCTCAAATTTACTAAATAAATCTTCCCAAGCTAACGACAAGTTTTTAGACCAAGATACCCTCCTAACACATTTTAATTGTAAAACAAATCAAACTGGCAGCTGTTCATAAAACTCTGCAACCAAACAGACACAACAAAAATACAATATAACAACACAGACACCTTCAATTAAAACTTCACAAATAAAATGAAGCATGAAATTGCCACTTAATGTATCCCCGTCTCTGAAATAAACCACTCACACAACCCAGTACCAGCAACGAAATAATAAAATCTAAGAGAGACCGTTCTAAATTGCCTTTAGTTAATTAACTCAGAAATAATTCCAAACAAATTATCATGGCAGCAAAGAAAAATCACTGGCAAATCTTTTATAAGACCTTAAAAATTGGCAAACGAAATACTAGAACGCCCAAGCAGCTCCACATACCCAGCACAAAAATTATATATATATAACCACAAAAACAAACAAACAAAACAAATTAAAACAAAAATATTAAAAATACTATCTGGAACTAAAGACTAGACCGCACGCACCTACCAATCAACAAAACCGTAACCATACAAGAATTATGAACAACTCTTAAAAAAACAAAACAAAAAACATAGCCACAGCCATAGGCCTACATACCATCAGTTACACTATTCCAATCAAATCCAATGAAAATTCAGACACTATTATTACAACTTTTTAACCAA